TTACATAATAATTTAGATCAGTGGTTTTCTAACTTCATCCCAAGGTGCAAGGTTTGCTCAGTTGGGGTCTGACCGAGATTTCTTGAACTTGGTCGTTCTTTCATATTTTCAAGACTCTTCTTGCCTCGATCCAATCGGAAATGGACGTAAAGTTATGATGTCCCGCCCCTTAAATAACCTAACAGTGTTGAAAGAGGCGTTAAACACATATTATAACTAACCCACATCTACCCACTAACAATTTCTTCCCTCCCCACTCGCATGCATTTACTTAGGATCAGTATTCCTAACTTTATCCCCCACCATTTCCCCCTAATAAAGTTTGAAGAAAGAGAAACACTTTGACATAACAAAAGCAATCCAGCACAGGACAAAGACAAGACAGGCATACTGAACCGAAAAATGGAAAGAATGAAGGACCTACCAGCGGCGCCTTTTGCCTTTTTAAATACAGGCATTTTACCATTGACAAAAGTTCAATCATTAAAGGGGCAGGTTTTGGCCCTGACTGTAAGGACCAACCTGGGATGTGATCCATATAAAGTCCCAGCAGAAAGATCAAGATACTCGATAAGAATTATCTCCATGAACCGCCAACTTTTCGTTCTAGAAGCTATCTATGCCCTGTGTATACTATAATACCCACAATATTGCTTTTTTATTCGTTTTAGTATGAGTTTTACGACACTTGCAACACAATTAATTAGGTCAAATTAGTTCCGAAGGTTAGAGGTGTTGGTAACATACAAAAAAAGGAGGAGGGATAAGAACGATAAATATTTGATAAGAAAGAAGGTGCAAACCAAACTAGAGCACCCGCTAACAACCCACATAACATTGCTTCGTAAAAGATCAAAGTTCAGTATGCAATATTGTTATGATAACAACAGATGGACAAAAGTATCACTTCCAAAACTTCAAGATCTGACCACAAATTGTGCCAGACATCGATCACATACCGCTACCCCAGAATTACAAAGTTCTCTTTGCATGACAAATACCCAGTTTTGAGAAATTTGACGTCAAAAATTTTGAGTTTCACAACATCTCAAGCTTTTTCGAATGCAATTCTCTGAATATCTTAATAACGACTCCGAATAATCTTACAGTTTTGATAGAGCAGAGAGAGAATTTGGTTTCTGACCTCATGGTCTCACTAACTCAAAATGGCCAAAATGTCAGACAGACCTTTGTAATTCTGAGGAGGTAGCGATACGGGGAGACCAGAGTTCAGAGAGTTGCGATCAGAATATTATGTCACTAACGAAACTCTAGATTTGACGTTCAAAGACATCTCACGAGCCCTTGAAGATGGATTCACGCAACCACGAATCCTCAAAGGGATGCTCTTGAACTTGGCGTGTCTGGAGAGTTTCCCAGCCTCTCTGTAAAACTGGCCTGGTCTTATTATAGATGGACTTTTGATTCGGTGATGCAGCCTCTAAGAAAACCGTGCAGTGTTGAAAAGCTAAACCCGTATATTAGTAACTTAACCATTCGATTTAAAATATTTCCTTTCATAAGAAGGTTTATTTCAAGTTACCATCTCAGTTCCTGTACCGGCGTTTATGGTGTTATGGTTAGGCTCTTTGCCGCAGCAGGCAGAAGAAAGGAGTTCGATTCCCGTTCTACTGGAACGTTGTATTCCCTCACAGCTCGGGTTGGTCCTGAGAGGGCGACTCGATGTTCGCTACTTAGATTATCTAAATTGTGTGGATAGGGCCGTAAGAACACCCACATTTAGATTTTATCAGTTCTCCTGCGACATACAATTGGATGCTCATGAAACCGTGTGAATTTACTAAATGAAGGTAAAAATGAATACTTTCCTCTAGACACAACGTCATGGACTACAACTACAAGCCGTTTCCGATATGACCGTCTTAAGGGTGACGAGGCTTGATGATCATAGAGATCCTTCTTCTAATGAACCGCCTACGACGACGACAAAAACAAAAGACTGAAATAGGTACCTCTTTGAGACACCCGGCTACTAATTCAGGAACACAATTAAATATTCTCGGAGAACCAATGCCTAACCACTCACTACCAAAATACTGAGCCACATCCATCTTTTTCCGGGAGAGGTGTGAGTACCTTCTTCCTGCAGTCTTCACAGTTATCTGCCCCTGACAGGGGACTCTACCGGGGTGACTGCTCATTGCCTTTCAGCCCTGTGAAAGCCTCGAGTTACCCCGCCTTCCCCCCTCTGATCGTCTTTAATTAGTTCCAGGAGATTTACTCTGTTTCCGTCTACCGGCTGGCTATCATTAATCTATCGGACGCAGCCGGATCCGGACCCGCTGCCAAAGCCATCGGGGACGATTTATCAAAATTAAAACCACGAAGCCACACGACGCCGTCACAACCCGCTGAAAATGAGGAACAGAAAACAATGATTCAACGGGATTTCTTTGCCGGCGAGTTTCTACATTATGATTATTGAGACCCGGGTTTTAAAAAAGCAAACAAACAAACAAAAATTGAAAACAGTTATGAAAATTTAGCGCTCACGTTGAGGAAACAAAAAGAATGTGTATATGCGCGTGTGAATGTGTGT